AGAACGCTGTAAAAGGAATAGTAGCTTGAACAAAGAGATTTTCTGTGTACACTTGGTGAGAAGGGCGCTAAAATAAATTAATTAATTAAGAGAACAAATCATCCATAATCTATGAGGGTCTACACTTCCCACAGACTCCTGAGAGTTAAGTGTGCCCTTAGGTCCTTGGCCCATGTGCAAGAAGGACATAGGTCCCACTAATATTCTGGCAAAAGATGGGAAGAAGGAGTAACTGAAGCCCTGAACACAGTTCACCTCAGACGAAGGAGAAAAGAAGACAGATTCTCTGCTGGTTATGTCAAGGGGCAAAGGCTACTTGGTTCCACCATCTACAAAAGCAGGGACTGGAAGCATTCACCCACATCCTGGCAGAAGGATTCATGGGATGGTGGGAAAACCTGGCTCCCTGCCCTCTCCTTGCTTCCAAGGAGGGAGGAAGATGCCGCTGCCCAGGCACCCCAGGGTGGTTACGGGTTCCAGTCATATTCAGAACTCCTGCCTGGTCTACCTGGAAGGGGAGGGGCCAGGGCTCCAACAGAGGGCTGGGATGGTGAGGCCTTACTGCCAAGTCCAAGGAGAGAGGAAGATGTAGTTTGTGAGGGCAGGAAGTAGCTGGCTGCTGGGCTGAGGAGACCTGCAGCAGGAAGCATTTCGGTGGAGTGGCAGGGCTGGTGTGGAGAGGAGACCCAGAGGGACAGAGTCAAACATCAGACTCCACGGAAACGCTCCAATATGGTAGGACCTGGCTGTGAAAGAGAATCCTAGGAGAACAGCCCATGTGGAGAATTATGACTGCTCAGAAGGGGCCTGACTGTGGGGGCAGACATGGAGGCCCACAGACAGCCAAGAACGTGAAGCCTCTTAAATGAGAGCAGCTGGGACACCATCCCCCACAGGCCAGCTGAAAATGGGAAGGAGATCCCGGAACGTTGTAGGTCTTTTTAACTAGAGAGATAGAAGAGGAAGCACCAAGTGAAGGGGGTCACTGATGGAGGTGAAACTGAACAGACCAGGCCTGGTATGACGGGCCTGGCCCAGATGCCTGCCATGGTGGGAAAGGGACATCAACCCTTGGACAAGCCAAGTGGCACATACCTTTCTGCTACCTCCCAAGGCTTGCTTGCTCTGCCTTCAACCTGAGCCAGGAGAAAGGGTCACCGGAGACAGACAGGCTGGCCCTGCCTGCCAGGGCTTTGGCTCTGCCATGACCCAGATTGGCTTGGGCCCACAGCCAACCTGCTGCTAAATCCAGACTCCTGAGATGCCAGTTACCTTGTGCCTGGCTGTGGCCTCAGCTGGCTTTTCAGACCCTGTGCCATGGCCTCAGAGGGTCTTCAGGGATGAAGGGAACAGGCTGAGCCAACTCTCGGCCAGAGTGTTAAAGGGAACAGGGCCCCAGGGAACAGAGTCCAGGGAAAAGGTGGCAAAAGCCACTTGTGACAGATCTCCAAGGGGAAGGGGACTCTTGAGAACTTGGGTTCCTGCTGTCCCTTCCCCAGCCAGGGTCTCTCTTCCACTACTCCCCACATCAGAGGAAGCTGATCTAGACTAGTGGTGTTTCTTAAAGACAGGGGCACAAAGGGAAGCAATGGTGGAGGTGACCTGCAATCTCAGATGCCTTCTTGGTGTTAGGGCTACTGCTGGGTCCACCCATCCAGACCCCAAAGTCCTTTCTAGTTCACCCCCATCCTGTGGCTTGCTACCATAGCTTGAGAAGACCTAACCAATCAGTGGGGGAACTCGTTGCTCACAAATATTTTCATACCCTAATTCATTTTGACCTCATAGTAATGTGCTAGAGATATTATCATCCTGAGAGATTAAAGATAATTAACAGATGGTTGGCGTCCTTGGGCAGTAACCATGTTTTATCGCCAATGCCTGGCATATAAAAGGGACTCAAACAGTGTGGAAGGAATGAAGAAATAGATGGACTTGTCCCAGGTCAGCTGGCAATAAGAGGTGGTGCCCTTTCCAGCCCATCCTCATTCCCTTCTATTCAGGATGTCGGCCGACAGAGTCGGCCGGAGGACCACGGACTGCGAGGTGGAGCGGGGCTGGCTGCTGAGCCGGTTCAGAGCATGCGAAAGGGCCCTACTTCTCTGGACACCCTGAGTCACATTTAGGGGAAAGTGTCGCACTGAGCTCTTTCCACTTTACTTCCTCCGCTAGGGGTTCGGTGCTGGAAGGAGCGCAGTTTCCTGCGAGAAAAGAGCGAAAACTGAATTCGCGTCCAGCTGCCACTCTCCCTGGCTGGTTCCCTGGGCGGAAGACTGAGCAGAGCTGACATCCAGCCCGGAGGGGCCCGCGGCCCCCGTTCACGCTCCGCCCCGACGGCCGCACAGCGCCCTCTGGTGCCGGGCAACTGGGTCCAGCGGGCTCGCAGGCCCGGGGCGGGATTCGGGGGTGTGAGAGGCGGGGCCTAGCAGGCGTGGGAGTCCGCGAGAAACGCGCGGCCTCCGGCGGTTTCCCGGCCCGGGAAGTAACCCAGGTCGGGCGGCCGCAAACAGGAAGTCGGTCTGTAACAAAGCGTGGGGGGCGGGGAACCCGCGTCCTCCGGGACTCCCGGTGGCCACAGCCGGTAGAGGACTGACCCGGCCAGCACGCCGCACCTCCTTCTTCCGCCGCCGCTCCAGCCTCGGAGGGAGCCGAAAGGGACGCGCTGTGAGCCCTGGGCTGGATGGAGGGTGCGGTCGCCCTGGGAAGGCCGCCGGGACCTCCCAAGGCGCATCCTCTCCCCGGGAAGGGACAGTCATAGTACCCTAAGTGAATCACTTCCATCTCCTTCCGGGAATGCAGCAGACCACGTCGGGCGGAGGGCTGGGTCCGCAGATCCTGGGGACCCACGCAGAGACTGGGAGTGCTGCAGGGAGGGGAGAGCCCTGTGGGTCCCTGCCTGGGTTGGTGGAGCATCCATTCCACCTGAGTCTAGTCTAGTGTTTTTATCTAGCATGGGATGGGGCGCGGGGCGGGAGGGAGATAGGAGTCCCTGTCTTTTTGTAACCGCTGACCAGTCTGACCGTGGCCCTGAAACAGCAGAGGGCACCTTGGCTGAGAAAGCAGGATAAAGGCATTCCTTCCTTCCTTCTTCACAGCTCTCCCTGACTCACCTCCCCACAGTGATATCCAGGTGGTTCCTAGCCCCTGGGTCCTGAAATAGCAGTTGTCCTCAGAGCTAGAGGTCACTGTGGGGTCAGACTTATCCCGTACGCAGGGCACTACCTCCGGCTGTTAAGGAACCGCTAAACTCTGGACTCTCTTGTGAATACACGTGCGAATTAAACACGGGCATTTGCTAAGCCATGGAGAGTGTTAGACAGTGAGTCTAGAGCTATCGTGTGGCCCTATTTCTGCCAAACATGGGACCTCTTCTGTGGACCTGGACACTTCATCAGAAAAGTCTTGGGTAACTTAACTGTGAGAAGAGGCTGGGCCCTTAGGTCTGGAAATCCTGGGGAGAGGAGGGCTTCCACTGTGGCCTTTTCACACCCCAACTGCCTGGCCCACCGTCTGCCATGTCACTAGAGGTGAAGCCTAACATGAGCTACAGGTTGGAACTGCCCAAATCAAGTCCACACTTGGATCCCCCCCTTTCCCCAGAAAACTGGCCTGGTGGGCTCCCCCAGATCCCTATCTAGGGTATCCGAGCCAGGGAGTGGGTTTAGCCAGCCAGCTCCTCTCCACGGCTCCTCTTGGAGGGGCTGGCAGCCAGTGCAGTCCGGCACGGCCTGGTGGTGGTGTGGACGTGCAGGCCTGCGAGTGTCCTACCTGTCTCCCACATGGGAGCCTCGTCATCTGGCCTGTGTGTCCCAGCCCAGTTTCCCCCGCCCCCCAGGGTCCGGGAGCTGCTTTCCTGTTTCATTTTGGGCAGGAAGAGTGAGGTGGTGTTGTTCTTCCCGCTGCTGCCGGCTCAGGCTGTGGGAACGGTTCCCTGAATGCTTTCCTGTTTGATACCCTGTGTGTGCAAGGAGGGAACAGGGACCAAGGAGCAAGGCGGGGAGCCTCTGCGTGCAGGGAGTGTGATGAGCACAGGTCTCTGGCAGAGGCACCAGGACCAGGGGCAGAATGCTGTGTGTGTGTGTGTGCTGGGGAGAAAGAGGGAAAGGGAGACGAGCAACACTGCATATACTTCAACTCTACTGGGAGCATCTGGTGGGTCTATTTTGTCTTACTGTGGACAGGCTGAGACTGAGCATTTGCTCAGTTTTTTGTCAGTGGCTCACTTTTTCATCATTTGCTTTCCATGGGGCATGTTTGTGAGGACTGTGGCAGTCTAGGACCATTCTACACCTTAGGGGAAAAGTCAGGCATGAAACTGAGACTGGAAACTCCCTCACTAGTGCATCAGCCAGAAAAACCTGGTCTCAGGGAAGGCCAGCCTCTCTTCTTCCTCCCCTCCCTGCAGACCAGGTGCCCAGACTCAGCTTCTCACCCAGCTGCAACGAGGACAGACCCAAGGCAAAGCGCCCCCTCCTCCCCCAAGACCAGTGCCCTCTGGAGGCTGAAAAATAGAGTAGGGTGCCAGCCCATCTAAAACCCTGCATTGGCAGGAGGAAGGACCCCATTCTCCAGCAAGATAATCCTTTTGAAAAGAGGAAAACAGTCAGGATTGTCCTCTTTCCCCAAATTCCTATATCCCCCAGGCTGACTTTGGAGTCCATGAGCTTTTTTAGACTTGAAGAGAGAAAAGGGGGGTAGGTTCTGGTCAAGGGGCATATCTCCCAAGAAGTGGGGGATATGGGGAGCCACAGCCAGCCTCCAACCATCAGGCAGGGAAGGCTGGCCTAGGCTGGGAACTAGATGGGTGAGACCAGGCCCCTGGAGGACTGGAAGGGGCGAAGAGCCCGGAGCACAGCAGGCGGAGCCCAAGGGCATGCCCAGGCCCCAGAGGTTCTTGTGGAGCAGCTGGCAGCAATATGAGTAGGGGAGTCAATGAGAATGGAGAGAGGGTTCCCACTCGGCCATCACAAAGACAGGACCCGAGAAGTAATAAACTCCTATACACATCTGTTCCATATTATAAATACACATTATATACAAAATAATGTTATAAAATGTAGAAAGGTCAGTGCTTCTGATTCTTAAATTATCGAAATACTAGACTCCAAAATAAACTACAAAAAACAAACAAAATAAAAACTCATATTATTGATTTCTGAAGACCGACTAGGGGCAGTAGTGGGTGTGGGCAGAGCTCAGACTCAAGGCCATAGAAATGGGCTTGAGCGGGGAGGAAAGGGCCTAGGTGATGATGACACCCAATTTCTCCCTCACTGGAATTTCCAACCTCACTGCCCTGAGCTCCCTAGTTAGGCCCGGCCCCCCTGGCTGGCCCTCCACCTGTCTGCTCATAGGAGCCCAGAGGCGCCGGAGGCCAGAGGCTGTGGAAGCCAGGTAGGGCTTACCAATGTTCACGCCCAGAGGGCCTGGGCCAGGGATGAGCTGGGTGGTGTTACGACAAGGCCCACACGCTGTAGTTGGAGGCACACAGGCAGAAAGTGCTCCTCTCACTTCAGGTGTGCACCTCACCTGCAGGGCAACTCCTGCCAACAGCCACACCTGATGGTTTCCTGGCCCACAGGTGACCCTGCCCTTGCTGGCCTCCTCTCTTCTCTCTGGTTTGGACTCAGCTGTCACCATGGAGCCTGGGCCAAAGGCACTTTTTGACACAGATGTCAGTGAAGCCACAGCAGCTCCAGGCCCTACAGGGCCCTGCCGCTCCCTCGGGAGAACAGGCCAGAGCTCCCAAGGAGCCCTCGGAAGGCCACCACTGGCAGGGCGGGTCCAAAGTGGCACCTCGCTTCTCCTCTGTTCCCCTGGCTGGTACAGCTGCCAATCTGATGCCAGACAGACACCCAAAGGTGTGGAAGGTACTGCATCTCTTGGCAAGTTCACAGTCTGTCCATTTTATGCCATTCCCTCTTCTTCCTGAGAGCAGCACGTTGCATATTAAAATGTCCCATCCAGGATGCAATGTAAACAATGCAGAAGGAAGGTCCAGCTGCTGGGCAAAGCTGGGATGTCCTGGGAAGCTTCCGCCTTATACCTGGGGAGCATGTGAGGAGTGGGTTACCCTGGAGCACAACGCCTTCCCTCATGGCTTCCCTGGGCAGCCAATGGGGCAGGTGGAGTGAAAGAAAGGTAGGGCAGCCCTCCCCAGTCTTGAGTCCCAGTACACACACATGCCTGGGAGCCTATGCTCTTAAGGTAGGCCAATGGAGGAAGCCAGGGAGAAGGGGCAGGAGGGGCACCAGGCCACCACCCTCACCCACCGGCAGCTGGGAAGCTGGGAAGCAGCGCCTGGGAGCTGGCCGGGTGCCATGGCTGCCCAGCCCAGCACTAATACAGCAGGAAGAGACCAGGCTGGGCTCACGAGCACGGCTCCTGTTTCACACCCTCTGTGGCAACGGGGCTAGCAGGGGCCCAAGAACCACTGAACCTGGCTTGTCAAAAAAGGGTCCTGGACCTCCCCAGAGTGGCCCCTAGCATCCAGTGTCACCAGGCCACTTTCCCATCCCCAAAAGGCAGGCAGGGACTGACCGGAAGGGCAGGCAAGCCCGGCACTCACCTCCGTGGCAATGACACACTCGTTCCTCTCCTCTGATATCAAACACACAGACTGGTACATGGAGTCCCTGGGGGCGCATATCGCTGATATCCGACACTCGGGCTTCTCACTGCGGGAACACAAGAGCGGCTGCTTGAAGGAGGTGTGGGGAGAGGGCTGGGGGAGGGCGGAGCGATAACCGGGACCCTGGACCCTGGACAGCCAAAGGGCCTGGCCGAAGTGGCTCGGGAGAAGACACAGGGATTGGGGGTGCCCAATGCTAACCCGGGGTCAGGCAGGAACAGGCCCCTGAGAGAGCCATAGGACCACCGAGCTTGTCCTGGAGAGGGTCTCAGGCCTGGCAAAAGCTGGCACTGCCACTAGAGGCAAGCCATTCCATAGAAAAAAGGGAAGTCATGAGACACATAATATGGACACGTGACACTTGTGAGTGAATTAATGCATGAATGAATGAATATGAGAGAGGGAGGGAGGGAGGGAGAAGTGGAGGGAGGGACAGAAGGAGGGACAGAAGGCTCTTGCAGAACTCTTGCTGGAAGATCAGTAGCGAACCCCTGTTTGCTTAAAAGCAGTCAAGGGCCTGGCGCCAGCCTCCCACCTGTCCTAGGGGAGCCGACAGTTCCACTTAGGGGTTCATGGCCAGGCCCTGGGCCTCCCGATGCTGCTCACCTGTGTAACCGCAGCGGCGCCTTCTCCCCTAAACTCTTGTCACTGTGGGAATACTTCCCCAGCATGAGCCCCCGGCCCAGGGGTCCTGGGGCCAGATTATAGTCCAAAGTGTGGTTCTGCTGTTTGCCACAGTTGGACTTGTCCAGGCCACAGTCTACCTCCAGCTCCTTCTTCTGGTTTGTGTTCTTGAGCTGGGCAGCAGGGATCAGGTTGTCCTTCTGGAAGTCTGACAAGTTGTTCATGGCCTCCCTGCTGCCGTTGTCTGGCCGCCGGAGCCGCAGCTGCCTCACGGCCACTGCCACCATGCCCAGCAACACCAGCACCACCACCAGCCCCACGCCCAGGGAGACAGCCACCCAGGGGAAGCTGGGAGGCATGCTCACAGGAAACTCGCAGCGGCTGCCCGCGAAGCCATAGGGGCAGTTGCAGACGAAACCGTCGGGGGAGCGGCCGGTGTAGCAGGTGGCCCCATTCAAGCAGGGTCCCGAGGCACAGGCATCGCTGGCTGTCCGCACCTCACAGAGCCTGCCAGAGAAGCCAGCAGGGCAGGTGCACACGAGCCCATTCTCTAGGTCATGGCAGGTGCCACCGTGGGCGCAAGGGCTTCGGGCACAGTCGCTGATCTGGAGTTCACAGTGGGGGCCCATGAATCCAGGGCGGCAGCGGCAAATGCGGTTCGGGCCCCTGTTCAGGCACTGGCCCCCTGTAGGCACACACAGGGCACAAGTCAGCCATCGCCTAGGAAGCCCTCTGGTGCAGAAGGTGAGCGCTGCCTCCCAGGGAGGCGCACAGGTCCTTCTGCCTCCGTGAGCGCAGCCAGCGTTTACAGGTCCCACTGCGAAGAGCACCGCACAGAGTCGGGAGACCTGGAGTTGAGGTGACCCTGGTCGCTATGCCTCCATGGCCTCATGTATCAAGATTACTAGCTCCTCATCACAGAGCTGTGCAGTAGAATCAGGCAGATAGGCTTGGGTATGGACAGCAGCTGCTTCTAGCTGTGGATCTGGCACCTGTCGCTTTACCTTATTTCTAAGCCTCAGCCTCCTCATTTGTTAAATTGGGGTATAACCCCATCCCCTCCATAAAAGGTCTCTGAGGGTTGGGTGGGATGATGTGGGATGACGCATAAGTGTAGGAGCGCAGGCCTGGTATGTAGTAAATGCCCAAATAAATGTAATTATCATTGTTTCGCCCTATCTTCATAACCACATGAGAGAAGACAGGTATTATATTTCCCATTTGGCAATGAAGAAACTGTGGCTCCAGGGAGTTAACTAAGTGATTCGCCAGAAAGCAGACTCCATCGCAGCCCTTCCAAGCCCTCTCTACCTCCTGAGGCTTCCCTCCTCCACGGTGCTATCCGCTTGCCTCATGGCAAGTCACCAGGAGGCCAAGGAGACAAAGATAATCAGCATGCTTTGTGTCCCAAAAGATGCTGAACACTCTAGACACCTTGGGCAAGGTGAGGCATTCAGGAGCCAGACCCTGACTGCAGTAGTCTGCCTTGAGCGGGGACACGAGGCCTCCAATGTCCCTCTGTCTAGCCTAAGACTTCCTGGGGAGGGTCAGAGGCCACACCGGTAGGGACTGGGCTCTGACATGGGAACAGAAGAAGAAGTCACTCAGAGTACACACCACTGCCTCTTCCAAGGCCTGCACCGACGGCTAACCTGCTCCTCTGCCGAAGTTACTCAGCTAATCAACCAAGCTCGTCACTGTCCAGAGCAGGCGGTGACCCATCTCAGCCTACCCAGAGTGAAAGACAAGGCTTCTCTCTTCTCCTGACCCTCCCTCACCAGAAGCCTTTCTCATCCCCATGTCTGGCACACCAGGTTAGCAAGGCAAGAAGACACACCATTGGCACAGGGGTTGCTGGTACACCTGTCCACTTTCTTCTCGCAGTTGGAGCCAGTGAAGTTGGGAGGGCATTCACAGGCATAGCTGGTCCCCTGGTTGCGCTCCCGGCAGGAGCCCCCATTGAAGCAAGGGGAGTTGGCACAGCTCAAGGTACTATGTTCGCAGTGCAGGCCGTAGTAGCCCGGGGGACACAGGCAGTGGTAGCCATCCTCCTGGTCCTGGAGAGAGACCAGAAAGGGGCCAAAGTCAGAGGCTGGGAGGCAGGGATGTATAGCTCGGGGTTAGGCCCCACGTGTCCACGATGTCTGTCTGTGGCCACCTGGGGTGGAGTTGCCTGGGCACTACCTGGCCAGACCTCTGCCTTCCTATGCTGGCCTCGCCCTCACCTTACAGCTGCCTCCATTGCGACAGGGGTTGCCGTCACACTCGCTGAGCTTCAGCTCACAGTCCACACCAGTGTAGCCTGGGCGACAGGTGCAGGTGTAGCTCCGCTGCCCGCTGTTAGAGCACGTTGCCCCATTCTTGCATGGGGAGTGGTGGGTGCAATAGTTGAGATCTGCAGAGACAGGAGCCCGCCGCTGAGCACAGCCAGAAAATTATCCCCACCTCCAGGCTCACTGCAGTGCAAGCTCACTGCCCATATTGGCCAAGAAGCTTCGACTCAGTCTTCCAGGTCCAAATACCCTCCCTCCTCCCCAGTGAAACTGTGTCTATTGAAGCACCTTGACTCACACCTGACAAGTGCAATCGACCAAAGTTGAAAAACACAGATGGACGAATGCCTGCCAGGCAAGCTCACAAACACCAGCAAGCAGGGTAGAATGAAGGTAAGGAAGAGAAGTGGAGGCAAGGCCACATGCTGAGGAGGAAGTCAGAAAAGGCTTCATTGGAGAGGGGTAGTTGAGATGAGCCTAGAAGGAGGGATGAAGTTTTAACAGGTGGAAATGGTAGAGGGGAGATGAGAGCCACCACATGTAGTTTTTTAAGGGGAATACATTACGTGATTATTTTAAAATATAAGTGGTGTGGCTCAGTGGATCATGTGACAGCCTGCAAAGTGAAAGGTCACAGGTTCGATTCCCAGTCAGGGCACACACCTGGGCTGTGGGCCAGGTCCCCAGTTGGGGGCATGTGAGAGGCAACTGATAGATGTATCTCTAGCACATCCAAGTTTCTTTCCCTTTCTCCCTCCCTTCCCCCTATCTAAAAAATAAATACGTATATATGTGTGTGTGTGCATGTGTTTTCTTACTTGGGAAAGATAGGGAGGAGGAACCAGACAGAGCAAACAGAGGGACTGTAAGGGCTGTGTTTGCATGTCATCAGTATATGACTGTGTCACCTGGGAGCAAATGGGGGCAGAGGAAAGAGAATGGGCAGGAACCAGGTGTGTGTGTGTGTGTGTGTGTGTGTGCGCGCGCGCGCATGTGTACGCTTGGGGATGAGGGGAGAAAGCAACACACACACAAAAGAATACAGGGGCTGAATTCTAAGTCCCTTGTTGTCAGCGAGTCAGGGCCCAGGCAAGTTCTTTCTATCCTGGCAAGCCCTCTGCCCACCCTACCCAGGCTTGTGCTGCTGTTTCCATGGCAGCAGCCATCCCATTTGACCCTGAAAATGGGAGGCACATGCTGCAGCTGGCTCCCAGGATGAAAGAGATAAAGGATCCCTCCTCCACAGTTGGGGCTGGCAGAACCCTGCATAGCCAGGAGAGTGACCAGCCCTGCCAAACACCAGGAAGACAGTGTGGGCTCGGGCAGCTGCCTGGCAAGTGCAACTGGGGATGAACAAGGCAGCCTGTTTCTAACCACACCAAAAAGTCAGTTAGATGTCACTCCACCCACAGGCCCAGCTCACACAGCCTCCAGGCAGCCGGCGGGCACACCCCACCAGACAGCTGTTTAGGGGAGAGCTGCTCAAACAGACCCGGCAGGTAAGCAAACACTTAGGGGGTTAATAGGTAACTATGAGGTAGAAAGAGGAACTGAGCCCAGCGTCTCTCCCTCCGGCCTTACTGGAATTTTTGAGTGCAGCCTCCAGGCTACCAATTTGTCACCCTCTCAGCTTCTCCAGCCACCCTGCCTCCCCAGCACCAGAGGAAGAATTATCCACCATCTTGTCCTACACCAGTTGTAAAGATCCTTGAAAGTCCCAAGCTTCTTGAAAGATAATGGGAAGGCCAGCTCAGCAGTGACCAAGCAAGAAGGGCCCAGGTGATAACTCTAGTTATCACCTAGAGTTATCCCACCCCTCGCCCATCTCTCCCACCTTCTCTGCATCCCCTCTTTGCCCTCACTCACCTTGGTCACAAAAGAGGCCTCCCCAGCCCTCGTTACAGGTACATTGCCAGGGGACGCTGCAAGTGCCATGGCGACAGCCATTGTGAGGGATGCATTCGTTGCACAGGCGGCCCTGCCAGCCTGGGCGGCAGCTGTGAAACAAAAGGGAGGCTGAGGATGAGCTGAGTGCCAGGCCAGGGGATGCCCCCTTCCCGCTTCCTGTCCCCTACTCACATGCACTCGGCAGGCTTGCTGCAGTAGCCATTCTGTTCGTGACAGCCAGAAAGACAGACAGCTGCGGGAAGAGAACAGAGCTGGGTGAGGCTGGGACGCTAACAATGCTGAAGACCACTCTCCCTTTCCTGGCCTTGGGGGCGCCCCCAGCTCTTCTGGGTTCACTTCCCACCCCAGCCTCCCGGAGGTGCCATGAGTGTTTTAAAGGGGACTGGTGGCACAGAGAAAGAGAACTAAGACTGACTGGATGGAATGCAGTAACAGGGTCCGTGTGTAGGCTTTGGCACAATGGAGAAAGGCACTCAGAAGAAAGAGTTCCAAGTTCAGCCCTGGCTGCTGTGACTCAGTGGATTGAGCACCAGCCTGCGAACCAAAGTGTCGCTGGTTTGATCCCCAGTCAGGGCACGTGCCTGGGTTGCATGCCAGTTCCTGGTTGGGGGGCGTGCGAGAGGCAACCAGTTGATGTTTCTCTTGCACATCAATGTTTCTCTCCCTCTTTTTCTCCCTCCTTTCCCTCTCTCTCTAAAAATAGATAAATAATATATATATTTTATATATATTTTTTAAGAGTTCCAAGTTCAAACCTGTCTTAAGCATGCCCAGCTATTCCGGAGGGCCAGCTAATGAGCAGCCCAGACCTGCTCTGTGAGGGATCGAGGGATGCAGGCTGTGAGGAGAAGTCACCGCTTCTGTGTTTTGTGTTTTGGTTTCTGCTCAGGAGACCCCCACCCCACCCCAGGCAGGCAGGAGAGAGCTTGGCTGCTTACGCTGTTCGCAGTACTCTCCGGTCCAGCCCGGCAGACAGGACAGGCTGCCATCTGGCTGGCACACATAGTGGCCGAAGTGGTCATTGCGCTTCTTGCACAGGCGTGAGCAGCTGTCTCCATAGTAGTTGTCACTGCAGATGACCCGGTAAGAGTAGCGAAGCCTTGTTGGGAGAGGGTCGGTCTGTTCATCCAATAACCAGTTCTGGCCCACAGCTAGGGAGCCCTGGATGGTGATCTTGCTGATGAGCGAGTTTGGTGGCATGGCCTCTGAAGGGGCAGAGGGTCAGGTCAAGGAAGGGCATCCTATCCCCGGGGGTGCCAGCAACTGCTGGATCAAACCAGATGTTCAGATGACCCCCACTTGCCAGCAGGCACAGGCCAGAGGAACCCAAGGGTCCTACTTCTTAGCTGCCCTGTGTGTGTGTGCATGTGCAGGGGGACTGATACTATTCAGAAGGGGGACAATAGAAGGATGTTAAGATTTCCCAGTGTTCTGGAAACAGATAGGCAAGGGAAAGAGGAAAAGAGGTCAAAATGGAGAGAGAGAGAGAGAGAGAGAGAGGGAGAGAGAGAGAGCGGGAGAGAGAGGGAGAGGGAGAGAGAGAGAAATGAGAAAAAGAAAAGCTCTCCATGCACGAAGGACTTTGGGAGCAAGGATTCCTCGGGTGTCCTTTTAGGGGTTCTGCCCTCAGAGGTGGGTAATGCTTTTCTTTTTCCTTTTCAAAGTGAGAATTGTTGTGCTGCTGAAATATCCTTTTCCTCTGTGTCAGAACAACATCCCAAAGCCATTATTCCCCTTCCAAAGAAGCGGAATTCGCAAAAGGTGTAAAATACAGGAAGGGGCCCGTCAGCGGCGCTGGCAGCTTCGGCCTTTCTCACCATCGTGCTCCCCGCGTTCCCACGCCAAAAATAACCCGCAGGAAACGCAATTGTGCTCAGAGTCCAGGCAGCGGGCGGAATCCGAGCGTCCAGCGCGGGGCGCAGCTCCGGGCCGAGCAAAGCGTCCGGCCCCTTACCCCCCACCCCGCGCTTCCCCCGCCTATTAATACAGGTTAACTCTTTCGGTGCTGCACCGAGTCGCCCCCCTGTGGCGGCGGAGCGAGCTACTCACCTGGCCGCAGGTCTTCTCCCGGCGCGTGCCAAGCTTCGATGGTGAGTGAGAAGGTGCCCTGGGAAGCGGAAGAAGGGGGCGGGAAAGAAGGCTTGATGAGCAGGGAGGTGGTGGGGGTGCCTTACGGCAGCCGGTTTAATTAATCTAATTGCAGGATATGGTTACTGCGCCCGGTCAGCCTAACGGGTCTGCGCGCAGCATCGCGCGCAAGCAAGAAAGGCGAGAGAGCCCTGGATAGGAGGAGGGTTGAGGGACGCGGGAATGTACGCGAGAACCACTTGGAGGTGGGGGACGCGCCGGGGTGATGAATATCGTATCCGAGAACTGGGAGAAAAGAGGGCGCAGAATTGGGAAGAGGAGACTGGTGCGAGCTTTCCAGAGGATGAGGTCCCAAGGGAGAGTCGAAAGAGGATCAGAAGAGAACGTCCCTCGTTTTGTTTGTTTTGTTTTGTTTTGTTTTGTTTTGTTTTGTAGGGGAGCGAGGATATCTGGGGAGAGGGCTTTGGTCTCAGGGAGACCCCTTCAGTTGGCTTTCGTCACCTCCCAGTGCTCCCAGGCTGTGCTCACCGGCCAGGTGAAATTGAAAGGCAATTGGAGAGGGTTGCGTCCCCCGCCGCTACTGTCGTCCGCAATGGCGAAGGAGTTGGTGCCCAACACAGGTGTGGAGACGCTGCCGAAGGTGCAGGGCCCGGGCGAGAAGACCGTCTGGAAGTGCTTCAGGCAGACTCGGAAGAAGGTCCGGCAGCCGGGTTCGCACCGCAGCCCGCTGGCCAGTACGCCGCGGTCGTTGACAAACTCCTGAAGCTGCAGCTGGAAGACTCCGGAGCCGGCCGCGCGCTATTGCACAGGGTGGGAAGGAAGGAGGGGAGCCGTCAGCTCGTAGGACGCCAGGGCTCAGGCCCAGAGCGCGGTGGGAGGGGGCGCGGGACGTTACCTGCTGACAAAGTGCCACCAGCAACAGTAGCGCCCAGCCAGAGGCGCTACGGGACGCGGCTGCCATTCCCTGGGGCGTCGCTCTCTCCACCCGCCCGCCCAGAAGCTGGCTCGGGTCGGGACGCTGTTTGCCCGTGCGTCCACCCGCGGGAGGAGTCTCTGAAAAGCCAGGCTCCGCTCGGAGCTTTCCTGCCGCCTCGCCTTCTCGCTAGTTCCGTTGAGACTGCTGCGGTAGGTAATCCAGGTGAGGGCGGCTGGGCGGCGGCCACGCAGAGGACGTGTCCTCCAGCTAATCCTGGGGCTGCAAGCCTGCTAGTGCCGGAGTACACTGCACTGAGGCGGCTGGAGCTGTGGCTCTTTGCCTCGTGTTCCCAGCCTGCGCCCAGCGCCGCTACTGAAACCTGCGCGCTGGGGAGCCTTCCTTATATATATTGGCTCCTCTCCTCTCGGCCTGCCACTCTCCCCTCCCCTCAGGGCCTCTAACTGCTATAGCCTCAGCGCCGCCGGGAGGGGGCCTCCGCCCCCGCCAACCCCCCTCCCAGCCAGCCAGTCAGGCACAGGTCCCCGCCCATTCGTGCCGCTGTCAGCCCCTGGGTCCCCCAGCTCTGCGCGTGCCGAGGTGACCAGTTCTTCGCAATCTCCGGATTACGCACGGAGCCCTGGGCAGTGGGAGAACAGGGGGAGGGCCGGGGGGGGGGGCAATGAGACTGGAGCTGAGCAAGTGGTTCCCGGAAGGTCGTGGGGGTGGAGACACTGGGGAGTCCCTAGGAGCCTTGCGTCCGCAGCCAGCGGTAGTTACCTGCAGCAGGTAAAAAGAATTTATGCCCGAAAAGTGAAACCAGCGCTAAAGAGCTCCGATTTCCTGCTCCTTCACGGAGCCTCTGAAGCCCTCTCCTGCTCGGGCATCCACCTGTGAGCTCCCACCCACCACGCCTCCCTAGCGCTACGCGAAGCGAGCGAGTGCCTTAACCCTCTCTGCGGTTGCTCCCAGCAAGGAAAGGAGCCAAGCGTCTAAGGCTCGGAGCGCCCTCCCTCCACCTGGTGGGCGTCCTCTTCACTTGTTGCGGGAGGGGGGGGGGCTTCTCCAGCGCGTGCTTTTTCCATTCTTCCCACCTCCCCGCCCACCAATGCGCCCGGGCTCGGGCTCGGCGCGTGCCAGCTCTAAGACGCGAAGGTCCGGAGTTGGGGGAGGGGGCGTGGTCCCAGAGGTAGAAGGGCGGGCATCAGCTGTATGGTAATGAGGGTCTGGCCCCACCTCCAGCGCCTCCCCTCACCTGGGTTCAGCTCCAGTTCCAGCGCCCACCATCTCCCCCGCCCCACCCCAGCAGTCCCAAGTCCCTCTCACGTCCTGTCGCTCCGTTGGGGCAGAGAGGTACTCTTCTGGCTCCAGATTACTGGAGAGTCAAGGTGAAGGGCTGAGGCTGGGCAGACCCTTTGCTCCAGGATGAGATGTAGAGTGGAACTGGAAATGTTCGGACTCGTTTTAGTTTCAAGAGGCTACAGCATCTCTCCTTCGCGGCTACCCCGGTGGCCCCACTTCTAGCGGCGACGGTGCAGCTGCCTTTCCCGGACCGCAGGACCCCAGCGTTGTCCCCGGTGACCTTAGATCGCGGAGGGCCGGCTTCTCCCAGTCTGGGGGCGGGGGTGGGGAGAGCGCCCTCTCTCTTCGACGCTGAGGGCGGTGGGGGCCTTGTGGCTTCAGCTGTCAGCCTGCCCGCACAGCGATGGCTGTCGTCGGGCGATAAGATCGGTGCGGGGGGAGCAGGGACGCGCGGGTCCGAGGGAGGCTGGGGGCCCAGAACGGAGCCCAACAGCTGCCTGTGCCGAGCATGGTCTGATTTTTTGACCTGGGGTGGTGGTGAAGTGTGGGGGGAGGATGAGAAACAAGAGGTTGGGAGCGTGGGTTGGGGGAGGGGCGAGGTGAAGAGACGGGCTCCGGGGTCCCCCACGCACGGCCACCCCTCCCAGTCACCATCTGGCACGAGCGGGTTGGCGTGGGGAACCGAGGTGGGGCGGGGGCCGGCAGATGGGCCCAGGCTGCGCTCCAGAGTTAATGTAGGTTATGGGCAGGCGGAGGAGTCCCCAGGCCCAAGGGAGGGGGAGACCAGGAGGTGCCTCCCAGCGAACCTGATAAGTGGGTTTCCCATCCTTTCTCTGCCATGCTCTATGGATCCCTAGGCCTGCCTAGGGTGCCAAAGAGTGCCCCTTCACTCCTCAGAGATGACAGCCAGCCCTGCCTAGTTCTTGTCTGCTTCCCCCCAAATCCTGGCCTGGGGGTTCATAAAAACTCGGTTCTTTTGTGGCGTTGACATTTGCCTGTCAAGCGAGACAGTACAGCCCACAGGAGGCATTTGCCTAACACTCGTAGATCCGGACACTCCCTAACCCTTATACGCATCTGGACCAACATGTCCAAAAGCACTTTGCACAGTCGCAGACCAAACGAAAGTAAGTATCATCATTTTCCTCAGAGACTGAAATGCAAGGGATCCCAGAAACCTAAAAATCCTCTGACCTGAGGAGGAAAGGCATTACCATCAATCAAGTTATTTATGAAGCACCTGTTTGAAGTTCATTATCCTACTAGGACTCTCTGCCCTCGGCCCTTGAGCTCCAGTCATCTGGGTCTAGTTTTGCCTGCTTTTGCTAAACAGGAGAGGGTCCGGAGCTGCGGGCAGAGAACCAATATTGGAAGCCTCCACAGCTGGGGCTCCTCCCTTTTCTTTCCCACTGGCGACTTGTGGACAGAAGAACTCAACCTGGGTCCTGGGGGCAACCAGGAACAGGAGGCTTTGAAGCCATCCGAGGTCATAAATCACAGTGGTGTTGGACCCACATGGAACCTGCTGACCCTGCCACTATGTAGCCTCTCCCTTCACGCCCCTGGGCTCCTCCACCCCCAACTGCACTGATGATTTAGGGTTCCTCACCCCACCGGCACCACCACACCACCCAGAGTACAGAGCAGGAACAGGGTGGAGGCCCAGCTTCACTCAAGCCCCCACAGCCTCCTCCCCAGGGACCTTCTGTTTCTGCTGTCCTCTCCGATTACCAGCTGCACAAAGCCCCGGGACAAAGCTGCCGGGACAGGCAGAACCTGCACCTTGGCCAGGAAAGGCCAAGGTTACCTTTCAGCCATGCCCTCCAACTGACCCCGGGCTATTGGGGCGCGACAGGGGCCCAGAAGGACCTCGGCATACATCCCCCGACTGGGTAGCCTACTCGCCCCCCTGCTCCCTCACACCCCCGGGGCAGGGTTCTCCTCGTTCTCCTCGGGGCAAATTGCACTCAGGTAGGAGTGCGTGGGGGCCGGGCTGGCCAGGGGCGGAGGAGCAGGCCTGGGTTGGGTGGGGCGCTTAAGCCCTGAGGGGCCACGTGCGGGCAGCCGCAGCGGGGAGCGGCACAGAAGGCGGGGAGATTTGCAAACTGTTGCTGCCACATGGCTGCTCCATTCGATCCATTCACATTGAAATGAGGCCGGCGCGTGCCTCATCTGCCGCAGGGCGCTGCCACGCGTCAGCACGGCCGCCGCGTGCCAACTGGGGCAGTGGGGCTGGCAGGGCCTGCCAGCCGTGGGGGTGCAGCCTGGGCCTTGGGGCCAGGAGGGGTAAGGGGACGGAGCTGAGCTACCCTAGACACTTAGGCGCTGCAGTTCCGTGGACCTTGGCCCTGCAAGTGGGAGCAAGCCGACGAGAAAAGACCAGGACCAACGGGTTTTGGAGGGGGGTCAGGATCGATGCCGCCGCTCCCCGCAGATGCGCCCGGGCAGCGCTACTCTCCATCTGCCGCCGCTCGCACCTGCCGGTCAATAAATCGATTTTACAATTTAATGCAGCAGCTTCCCGCCAGCCTGGGACAGATGCCGCCGCAGAACCACCGCCCGCCCTCACCCCTCCCCTCGAGGGGCGCCAGCGGTTAGGGCCGGGATTCCCGCTCGGCAAGCTGCGCCCCGCGGGGCCTCGTTCGCTTCTCTCTGGAGTCGCTACACGGAACTGCCTGCTCTGGGTCTTTCCCGAGGGACAGAACGGGTTCCCCGTAAGTCAGTCCTGAGGCTAGTGGAGGAGAGAGGAAATGACTTGGTGATAGCTTCGAGGACTCCTCGGGGGCTTCACGCACTTGTGTGTGGTGAGGGGAGAACGCAGTGGCTGATAACAACATCTGAGGGCTCCGGTGAGAAGCGGGAAGGTAGGGCCTGGTGCCTGGGCTCTGAGAGACACTGAGTCCTGAAGGGTCTTCATGATGGAGATGGGGCCTCTCCCCACCCTCTGGCCAAGTGCGCTGCGGAAGCAGGAGATGGACCTGGCTCTTGGCACTTCCTACTCCTGTGGTCTTGGGTGGGCTTGTATTTTAACTATAACTCAATACCTCAGTTTTCTCATCTGCAGAATGGGGATCATAATGATACCGACCTGGGAGGGTGACTGAGGGACTATATCTGATTATGGATTTGCAGGGCCCCCAGAATATTAATTTCCTTTGTCACAGGTGACATCCTGCCAGCCAGGGGCATACCTGGAGTAGACGGAAGGTCCCAGACAGCATATGAGTTCCAGGAGGAAAAGAAGGAAAAAAGAGAGCTTAAGATAGTCGCAAGGGATAAGCAAAGAGGAAAAACGGTGAGAGAGAGAGAGAGAGAGAGAGAGAGAGAGGAGATGGGTCCTATGGAAAACCTCAAGTATGAGGGCCTTTTGTGGGGAGAGAACCTTCCCCGGGTTTGGAGAAGGCAAAGGAATCACAGTGTGGAGCTAGCCTAGGCCCTCAGGCTCCTGGGAACGTGGACAGTTTCTCGACCAGAGGGAGAAGAATGGAGCTCTGAGAACTGGGTTTAGAGAAGCAATAAAGGTTTAAAAGAATCTGAGCATGGGCTGCAAACCAAAGGGTCACCAGTTTGATTCCCAGTCAGGGCACATGCCTGGGTTGCAGGCCAGGTCCCCAGTAGGGGCCACATGAGAGGCAACCACACATTGATGTTTCTCTCCCTCTCTTTCTCCCTCCCTCCCCCTCTCTCTAAAAATAAAGAAATAAAATCTTAAAAAAAAAAAAAGGTTTAAAAGAATCAATTGCCCATGGCCTTGGCCTTCCAAAGATAACACTCTGACCAGAGCCAAGTGTAGGTCTCAAGCTGACATCCCTGCTCCTTCATGGTGGTGTTTCAGAGCAGAGGTGTGTGGGAGAAAGAAGACAACTTCTGAACTGTTCTGGTCCTTGAGGCTCCTGGCAGCTCAGGGGTCTCAACCCTCCCCAGGTCACCAAGAGATCACACAGCCTGGACTGGACTGTCCATTGCCTGATGGCTCATGACTGATGGCCCAAACGTCCCAAGGAAAGGATGTCCGAGTGGGTGGGACCATTGCGCAGGAGTCAGTCAGCATGCCTCTTCTGACTCCTTTTGAGACCCAGAAGGCCTCCTACCTTCTCTGTCCCAGGTTCCCAGGAGCCTGCGCCTAGGCCAGCTCCGTCCTCTAATTCCTTTGCCTTCTCCAAACCGCAGGGCAGGTGGTAACTGGTGTGGGCTGGGCCCTCTCTTCTCAATGAGAACAGCTTTGGCTGCAGAGACAGTGGGCCCAAGAGAGGAGAAGCTG